TGAGAAAAAACAGGAACATTGTGATGAAGCGATGTTCCCTTATTTCTTTCCCTCAGTATATATCCTAATAATGACCTGTTTATGTAACAAACAGCTGTGTAACAAAACTAGGCTGAACTGACTTGAGCAAAACCAGCCCTTAACCTATGTAAAAGATATCCTTAAGTAGTAGATGCTTCTGTAATACCTACTGGGTGTAGCTTTGTCCTCAGGAAAGGATGAGGGGATGAACACAGCCCTTTTAAGTCCATGAGAAAAGCATAATTTTAGAAGTGAGGAAAACCTTTACATTAATCAGTGAAAAAGTCATGAAACATATTTGTATGAATGAGAATTGGACTTTGCTTGTTTCCACTATTCCATGTCAAGAACATTTAACAACATTAAACATATCAGTAGGGTCCAAATGTGTCCAAAAGGTTGAGGCTTTCAACATTTAGTCTGATATTTTAGACAGGAACCAAGCTGATTTTGCCCAAAATGTAGATAAAACTGAACAAACATGTTCATGTAGGGCCACAGAATTTCTCAAACTTACAGTGTCTCTCTGAATTCTGAAAACCCTTTTCACTCATTTGACCACTCATGAGTTTAAAGTCTACATCACAAGTCCAAATCTCACGTAAGAAAGAAAACGACTTGGTTTTCAGCCATTTGAATGTCTGACATTTTTCACACTAATATTTTCAATTTTTCTGTAACTTTAAACCTTGCTGGACCAACTGGGCCATTATCCCCCCTATGTTTCCTCTGATGACTCAACCAACCCACCTGTTTTTAACCAATGTGTCACAGAAACTGAACAATTAGAGAGATGTGATTTCACATCACCATTCTCCCCCAAAAATAAAATGTGACTAATAAGCTCATCAACAACTCTGCAACAGCTCAAAGCAACGACGGTTCCTCCATGTGCAAGCCTAGCAGTTAGTGTACATGAGATCACGGAGATGCACGGACGTGGTGTCCCTACATCCATCACAAACACGTATCAAGTGTGATCACATCACGTGAGGATGATATGAGGTGGCAGACAGATCCTGTGATGGCAGATAGCAGCGTCATCTCCCTCTGGTATGCAGCAGTCTCCATGTCTATCACAATCACAGAATCATCGTATTCTGTAGGCTTTACAAAATAGGACCATCTTTCCTTGATATATACTTAACTGTGCAGTCCATAATGTTCACAATATTCAACAATGAGTGAAAAGACAGTGAAAACAGTCAGGCATGCATATCTTATATGTCAAGAAACATGACTGGGTTTTGATTCACCTTCATATCAGTTAAGAACTAGAAAGAAATGGTTCTATATTTTATAGCATAGTATAAAAATGTCTTGACAAAATGTCTGCTGATTCATTATCAATTTACCAAATACTAAAAGTTGCTTTAAATCCCAAAGTGTGAAAGAGAGTTACAGTCTAGACACCAATAAGTCCACAACTTTAGTGACACTGTATAATATTACTACCTTGTCTATAACAATTATTGAATGAAGTATTGGAGAGGTATGACACTTAAATGTACAAAAATAATGGATGTGTGAAAAATACTTGTGAGTCAGATGCGTTGCCCCCTCCATCTCCCCACACACAGCGCCCTCCCACGTTGGGCGACTGGTCAGTGTCAAGAGTTGAGCCCATATAAACCATTCATACATTTACAGAGATATCTACACAGACTAGACAGTGTCCACTTTCCGACACAGACTAGACAGTGTCCACTCTCCGACACAGGCTAGACAGTGTCCACTCTCCGACACAGGCTAGACAGTGTCCACTCTCCGACACAGGCTAGACAGTGTCCACTCTCCGACACAGGCTAGACAGTGTCCACTCTCCGACACAGGCTAGACAGTGTCCACTCTCCGACACAGGCTAGACAGTGTCCACTCTCCGACACAGTGGGCTAGACAGTGTCCACTCTCCGACACAGGCTAGACAGTGTCCACTCTCCGACACAGACTAGACAGTGTCCACTCGGAGAGTAAGGACATGTCCACAACAAGGTCTACTTGGGGTGTCAAACAGTTCCAAAGACAATAGCTAAATACTGCTTGGGTTGCCATTGTGTAAAAAATAAATTACTGGCATGTACAAGGTATACGCTTTAGCTGAATATAATGAAGATGGGGAGATATGGTAGACACCCATCTTGTACCTATACATGTATGTACACTGGGACGTGCATGATACACTGTCTCTCACACCTGGCACACATGAGACCTAACTGCTGAAATCTGGGGACACAACATGGAACGAGTATACAGCTCTGCTGCACTGATGGCAGTCAGTGACACAGAATACACCACCATCTTACCATTTGGGAATCTAACTGGTTTCTTCTTTAACAGAAACAAAATAAACTTTAAAGAACACCTGATTTGTTCATATTACCATATTTAATCTGCCATGCCGTGACAGTTACCATTCCATAACGGATTAACTTTAGCATATCATGTAACTCGTGTTCTTTACCTTCTGTTGAGTAGAGCATCACTAGATGGTTATTTCTGATCAAGAACAAGGAGAGAAAGAATAACAGCTTGTTTCCTAAACAGACAAATCTAATCCAAGGTTGAAGAAATCCTTGAATGAGACGAAATGGTTTGTGGTGTAATACGGTATACACAGGACAAAATGTTTTTCATCAATTGGCGCCAACAGTAGCAAGGAACGTGGCGCTGTGCAGTTTTCTCATATATGTTCATGTGAACACCAAAAGAGGCTAGAGGACAAACATGTCCCATCTACACTGTCAAATACAGCCAGTGATTCACATATATGCTATTTAATAAATTGACATTTCTCTTGAAATACAAACAATGTTAATATAACTATGAATCGTCATCACATTATCACTTACAGAACAACTTATCACATGACCAATACATCGGTACTTAGAATACAGATAGTGGTGAACAGCAGGACAGTAAACATTCAACAACAACCTTGCAACATTCATGTGTCATGTTACATAAAACACTCTCCTGTACATTCCAATGATCACAGCTAACCTGAACTATGTATAGAGGTAACAAATCACATGGTGCAGTCACAGTCTCTGACCAGTAGAGACATCGCTGGCCTCACATCCTCTCTGTGTAGGGGAAAACAGACAACAATGTCCGAACACTGCTCCATCAGTGGACTAACTCTACAGGAAGCTTTCAGAGAAGATGAGTTTCAATTCCTGTACAGTTTACTTGGACAATCTGTTGTTCACAAGCATCATAAAAGGTTTTGAAGTGTTTCCAAGAAGGACTAATTCGACTTACAACTGATTGGTCCCTAGGCTGGACTGACCTGTTGGTAGAACGGTACCAGAAATGCAGGCCACATAAAACATTATTCCTAATTAGGGCCTATTAAATAAAACAGAAAGGTCGTGAGTGACCATATGCAGACACTTTAAACGTACAGACCTGGAAATTCAGGGTGAAATAACAAATATTTTGTGATAGAGTTGTCTTGCTATTGACCCCTTGTGTTTCAGCCAGTGGCGCCAGATCACATACAGGAGTGCAGTCAGCACAGTGGTACTCCTCAAAAGGGTTAATGAAACATTTCCTATAGATGTTGCCAGTCGTCATGCGGAGGCTGGACTACAAACATACACAGAGAGAATTGTGGGAACAAGGACCAACCGTATCACGATACACAACCATTGCGTGGTACTTCTCCATGCTTGTAGTGTATACACTCAGTGCACTCAACACTTGCAGTTTTAGGTCTCCAATTATAATAGACTGGTATGCTGACTTGTAAATAGTTAATATCTTGCCATAAATTAAAGAAAATAATAACAACCATTCATGCATTGAGAGAGTGTGCCGTGTGTCAGTGTAGGGCAATTGCTGATGTTGATGAGGTATCTGGTAAACTGGGTCCCGTCTTCTTAACACAGCACTGCAACAGTTTACAGTAAACCACTACATTAGACATCTTGTATTTATCACTCATAACTGTGTCCCTCACAGAGTTTAGTGAGATATGCTGATAGAATAGCCCAGCCTGTCACCAGATACATATATGGCAATTCAATGCTTAATTTAACAAGTACTATGAGACTGAGATCAATATGATGCCACATATCATAAACAGAGAAGGGATGGTATGTAGCAATTAGCATCTTTAATAAAGAGCAGAAATTGACTGACTGTTTAATATTAATAGATTTTCAACCAGCCATGTCATACAGAGATTATTTCAAGCAGTAGACTGTAAACTGTTGCAAAGCTTCATTATGGCAATAGTGTTCTTTATAACCATTCATTGTCTAGAAAGAAAATATCTATTTGAAAATAAAAACCAAATCCTTCAAATGAAACCCAAACTTTAAAATAAAACATCATGCATTTCACTTGAAATTGAAAACATTTAACCTTCATGAAATACTGAACTTGGTCTTCAGTTATGTTTAAATGCAGGACGTGGATCGAATGCAGGGAGAGGGGTGGATGGAGAACTCGGGAAGGGGGTACGATTAGGTTGTGTACGGTGTTACTGTGAGGTGTGTAGGACAGCCTTCTGTCTCCATCATTCTAGGGTTTTACCATGCAGAACACTATATCTGGGACCAAATAAGCAGCATCTTAATTTTAGGTTCTTTCAATTTCATGTCGTTACGTGTGAACTGTTTTGACAAAAGAGTGAACTACAACACAAGAGAAACGGCAAATGAGTTGAACCAGAAAGATCTGTGCTGACTCATAACTTATCAAATTGTACAAATCTTTTTTTACAAAACACAATGAGAATTAAGAATTTACATAGAAAAGTAAAAATGTTGACAATATTTTTTCAGTTAAAAACAACTCCTTTGGTCGGGAGATCCCTTAATACTTGTGATGGCGAATGTCCCAAACATGGCCGTTCTCCTCACATGCACTAAGGCACAAAGCACCCCTGAGTACACCTGATATAGTCTCTCGTCACTTACCCTTCCTCAGCGGTGAGGCTTGCAAAGAGGAGGCAGAAATAGTGTTAGACAATATGGTTGTCAAAACAAAACATACTTTTTCTTCATAGTGTTCGAAATCAGGCATCAAGGTCCAGGGGTCTTTATTTCACAATCCTAATCACAGAAAATAAATCGTTGGGTCCCTTTATTTCAAGAAGTCAAGAACCCCTGACTACCAAAATTTCGAACACTGTTTTATATTTAACTTTACAGGTAATAACTACCGTAATTAAATACACCATGACCAATTCCTGTGAGAGAGATATTATTGTTTTCATTGTTAAATGTATCAGTAGTTGAAAAAAGTTCTAACATGATTTCTTTAATTTGATGTCCAAATGTGACATAACAGATGAATGACACAGGTAAGACAGATACTGTGAAATATTGTGTCAGTAAATTTCCAAATGACAAACATCTGATGAAACCCCACTAACTCAAGGTAAAGACAACACTGACAAAAATAATGTTTTGATGCTTACAAGTCTTTTTCTGCTTTGAGGATTTCTAGTGGGAGCCAAGTTGGAGAGCTGCAATAGAGCAAAGTCCATCAGTACATAGCAGGGGGGAGCCACATGGCGTGCGGAAAGGGGCAGGTGGGAACACATGTAAATAGGAGCCATTGACGTCTGTTGCTGTGGAATATTTTGAAAAACAAACAAACTAGAAATCTGAAAAAATTGCCAGTTCTTAGGATAAATTTGCAGTTATTTGTTGATCTTTGACCTGGATTTTGGTACTGAATTATTGAAGATCATTACTGTTACCAGCATGAGATTTTCTGAACGTGTCGTAGTACTGCTTGGTGTAGATGCATCATCAACTGCTAACCTTATGTTCAAAGCTTCACAGACAGTTCATGTCTGAATTCAAAACATTAACTACTGTGGCACCTGATTCTTCCACTATCATCATAAACCCTTCATCTTCTACACTACTCAGGTACATACAGAACTGTCTCTACACTGAGGCTGAGTGAGTTGTAAGAGACAGGCGCTGGAGCAGTGACAGTGGACTGTAGTTGCCATGTTTGCTTGGCTTGTTACCAGCAGGGAGAGCATAAGATGGCAGTCTGTGGGCCTGAACCTGTCCCATGACATCTTTTCTGTTAGATCTTAGTGTTAATGTGTGTTTTTTTCAGTAGCATAGCTTACTAAATTGAAACAAATTTAAAATAATAAATGGCAGCTAAGATCAGATGAGATGTGTCCTGTTAGGTGCTCTCATATCATGAACACTCAAAGAATGTTATCATGTTTTCCCTCACAATTAGTGTCATCATAAATCTGGGAATGAGGGCCAACAATATTGTGAAACCATTTTCCTCCAACACCAGAAATGCAAACTATTGGGACAAAAATCAATCTGTCAACGATTTCTTATGAATAATGAAATATAGGAACAGTAGCAAACTCTAACTGCAATTAAAATATGCTGAAATTTGTCACAAAAATGGCAAAACGAAAGTGCTAGAGCTTGCAATATTCTCTTGGAATTGATCTGTGATTTTAAAGGGGAACTGTGCTTTAATGTCTGGAGACCAGTTTTAGTCCGGGTCTAGACATTGCAATTGGGTGATTTGTCAATCTTGGACATAATCTCGGGGCAAGTGAGACAAGCACCAGACATAGACGCATCAAACAGTAGCAGTCAGCAGATAACCAGTGTTGTGAACTACTTGAACCAAACTGGCCTGGACTGCCCATTTCCACAAGCCTAGTCCCCCTTTAAGAATCATCTTGTCACATCACATGCAACAGTCATAAGGCAATGCACAGGAAAAAGACATATTTCTTGATTAGATACAAAAAATCCTCACCAAAAGAAAGAGTGACATAAAAACAATAACAGTCCATTCCCAAAAATATCTGAAAGTGAAGCACTGACATAGCAAAGTTTTATGTGAAAATATTCAAAATCATTCCACAAGGCTCAAAGAAAACAAAACAAAAAGAAGAATCCAGACAAGCCAATGAAGTCATTCAAGGGGAGGTAACACAACAAATGAAGTGACAACGACAAATAAAGTAAAACAAACAATATACACACTTGAAATGTTGGTTCTACATACAGCAAAAGAAACAGATGAAGCAACTAAAATAATAAACTGAGACAAATCATAGACAGGAAGTAATCCTGTGGCCATTATACCAAGGACGGCGTGAGACTCTGGGTTGGAAGTACACATGCAGTGGTAAACGTTGAGGATGAGCAAGACATGCAGACTCAGATCACCCAGTATGACTACACTACTGCACAACAACGTGACTGTCCACGGATTGCACAAACAACAGTGTCCGCCAGCTCTAGGATACCTGAATGATCTCCAGACTCCCATGCAGTGAGCTGTGACTGCCGCTCGAGGATATGCTGCTATTAGACTGATACGGGTCGGATGACCCACGACACCGACACGGAAGGTGATCGAAGAATGAGGATGGGGATGTAAACCTGTCGCCTGGGCCGCAGCGTCGTGGAATCTTCCCGAACATTGTGCAATCACAGTCACTACTAGCATTTCCTTCCTCGGAACTTAAAATATCGTCCAAGCTGCGAGCTTTCCGAGATGCTTCGTACACTCTGGTCCGTAACATAGCACTATTCATTGCAGCAGTGATTTGTTTATACACTTCTCTTTCAGAGTATTTGCCCCACCTGAATTTCTTCTCTGATAAAGAGTCACTTTCTGAATCCTCCTGTTTTGATTTCTTACTGTTCTGTAACATGTAAGCCTCTGACGTGTCATCCTGAGACGCACTGCCGGAAGTCGGCGAGTCTTGACAGTCAGAGCCAAGGTCGAAGGTAGGATAAGTAGAGAAGGCAATACTGTTGGGGCGTACCATTGGTCGCTTTGCCTTGTTCTCACGAGATCGTAAGATGACCTTGGAGGTCGTTGCCGTTGGTGATGTGACACTAGATCCAGAAGAACTACTACTTATGGACATGGGTGAGGAAGGTTCTAGAGATTTGGTCTCCGACACTGGAGAGGTACTTGAACTGGGGGAACTCCGAGAAGATGGCTTCTTGGAGCGTAACACAACTTTGTTGGTGACAGGCGACGGCACAGATGCACTGCTGCTTGAGCTAACACTACTGATGGACATAGGTGATATTGGCTCCGAGGATTTAGAATCGGTTGAAGCTGTGCTGATTGGTCGCTTTGTGGCTACTGCCCCTTTATGTTTGCCTGGGCTTTCGTCGCTAGCCAGGCATGGAGTGAAGCTGAGTTTGTCAAGTGAGGTAGCTGGAAAGTTGTGAACCTGGGACTCATTCTCCACAGTGACAGTTTCCATCTGCTCCGCAAGAGTTGGACTGAAGTTAAGTTTGGCCATGGCTGTCGTTGGTGACTGAAGACTGAAGGGAAGTCCTGAGCTAGAGCTTGCTCCTGGCAACCTCAAATGTTTGGATTTTGATAATGGCATGTTGCTTTCAGAAGGAAGCAGTCCAAGCAATGAGAATGGCTTGCTTGGTGTTGATGGTGTATTGTTCTCAGATGAAGGCAAAGATAACCCTTCGAGAGATGTAGGCCGACTTGGCGTGGATGTCCTTTTCAATGGAGATTGTATCTTAAAGCTATCCATTGAAACTGGTCGAGACTGAGGTGAACTAGCTGATGGAAAAATTGGACTCATTGTCACTGGGCTGAGATTGAGTGAGAATGTCCTTCTTGTGGAACGAATTGTCTTAGTCTCGAGGGTCATATGATCCTTCACAAATGTCCTATCACTTGGACTCGAATCTACTTGCATTGATTCTTGCTGTTGAACACCCAGAGATAACGACTGAGGATGAGCGCACTTCTTTCTGAGTGTGACGGTGTCCGTGAGTTCACATGAGGAGGAGATGTCGGAGGTGAGAGGAAGAATGAGACAGGGATCCTCTGTCTGATTGTCTGAGCTAGCACAGATGGACACACTCTCAACACCACTTTGTGCACATGGTCCACTTTGGTCCTCCATCTCTGGTTGTGCTGCCTCCTCTGTTGCTGCTGCTGCTGCTGCCGCCGCTGCTGCTGTCTGTGTCAATGAAGCTGCAATTTTCACAGTTGTTTCTCCACAAGGAAAACCAGTTTCAAAATGAATCGGGTTCCTGTTGAAAGACTTTGTTACGGGAGAAGATGGACTACACAACTGCAAATCCATCACAAAGGGAGTTGGTCGATGTTCGTAAGTCTTAGCTGCACCATCAGGGGATTTCTTGCCACTTTCACACAATCCTTGTCGCAACTGCTTTTCAAAGTCTAAAAGTTGCCCAAGGAAGTTGAAGTTTGGTGATATGGTTGGTCGCTTGTCCTTGACATACCTGAAACAGAAATGAATCTGTGACAAATAGTCCCTGAACAGAAGGAATCACCGAATATTGCCAGTCTTCTGATTTCAGAAATTCACATCTGCAAACTCCATTGTATAAAGATAATACACTAAAAATTTCTACATTCTGCATTAAAAGGAATTCTTGATGTTTTTATAACAAATATTGGAAGTAAATTGAATTTAGAGATTATAAGAAGCAGAAACAGGTCTTTATTGCAGCCTCATCTCCATATAACAAGCATGTGAAGAGCCTCAAGAGCTACAGAATTCTCCTCAGTATTTTATTCTAGAGAGCAAAGACATACTTTTATCTTGGTGTCCATCATTTACAATTGAGGTAGTTAAACTTTTTACCTTAATTATGTACATACTAAATTTGTCGATCACAGGGTTCAAATCATGATAATCACCTCCAACAAAAATAGCTGAAACAATGGCTTACCCAGCAGAAGCTGATAATCGCAGAAACTACTTCTTTCTCAATCACTGTTGGTAGACTTTCTCAAATAAATCTACATAGATAGATATAGGTTAAGAAATAGAGTTCCTGTTACAGTTATGTCACAATGACAGCACAGTTTACCTGTAGGCGTCGTCGGAAGACATCTTCATGTGATCCATGATGTAGGCAATAGCAAGTGTGGGTGAACGGGAGATTCCTGCCAGGCAGTGCACCAAGACACAGCCATTTGCCTCGCGCACCTTGTCTGAAACATAAATGTGACCATTTATGCTGGATTCATACTTGAAGATGTCAAATCTGTGAATTAAAGATGCCAAGTGGCACTTGTCTAGAGGAAACTTGCCACTTGTGGCACTGGGACCACATATTGTGTCCGTGGAACTGGCACTTTAAATGAACACGTTGTTGAGGTTATTATTATTATTATCATCATAAAATCAATCAGTGGGATTATGGGACAAGTGTTTACTCCTGTGTGGTAACTCACCAATGAACTGGAATGCTTGGTAGAAATATGGCAGCAGCTTCTCACTATAATTGTCATTGACTGGAATGCGAAGGAAGTGGCCATCTTGGACAAATGGCGGCTGTCCACAGTTGGTACTCAAGTTGAGGATGTAGTTAATCCCGTTTACCTGAAGGCAGGAGAATCACATGTTAGAGCTGACGTAAAGTATTACTTAAAGTAAACTGATTTTCTTTCCTTCTCGCATGTTCTATTCTGCTGATTCATATGGAAGAAAGTAAAGACACAGACACAATGCATGCCACGCGCTCGTCACCCACACATATACTAATCCTCAGCAGCCACTGCTGCCTCCCAATCAATGATGCTACTCAACTAGTGATAGCCATATTCCTGTGATTTTATGTTACACCAAACAGATTACTTACTGACCATTGCATAAGAAAGGGTTCTCAGTATCCAATCCACATGTTATGTTCTGTATAGTCAGTCTGTATGCTGTCTGGTCCAGATCCGATTATTTACAAGACCGCTGCCATATAGCTGGGATATTGCTGAGTGCGACGTAAATCTAAACTCACTCACTCACTCAGTCTGTATGCAGGGGCTCAGATCAGTTCACTGAACAAAACTTAATGAATGTGATAGATCACACAGCGAAGACCAAGCTCCACATATATACCACGAAATATATCCCCCACTGATTCAGAAATGCTTAGAATGGAAATCCTGAAAGAGACCTAATGGCATTTAAATTAGGCCAGCCCATTTTGGCCTAAAATGGGCTGAAAGTTATGTGTTCCACATTCTTGATCGATGTATCCCCTCCACATGCATTTCAATGATCAGCCCACAACTGACAAATACCTGACAATTTATGTTCACAGAGTTCATTCAATTTCCATGATGTTATCAACATCCCCTTTGTCCCTAGTTTATGTCTCTGCTGTCACTGTGATACTTCTCACAGTGGTGGGGTTGGAAAAACTCGGAAACCATGTGACATCTTTTCATTATTTAAACATATATCTCTGTTTGATGTGGGAGACAAAAAACATGACAGACATGTTCACACTGTTCACACATAGAGAGGGCAAAAGAATTAATGGACAAACAATGCTAGTTATAATGCAACGATGGGACAATGGTACGGAAAACAGAAAGGAAAAATGAGATAAAGACCACACTCTGACACCAATGAGGAAAGATATCAGCCGAGAGTAGACAGACATCAAACAGTAATGATCATAGTTTGTATATTTCTCATGAAAAATATATGTCAAAATGATGGTTCAGATATAATGGTTAGAACCACAACTTGCAGGAGCAGTGAAGCTTAAAGAGAGGGAATGCAAGAATACGAGTGACGCGTGAGGGCAGGAGGGATGACAATGTTTTGAACACAGCTCCAAGACGACTTTTATATGACAATGACTCACCACACATCTATCAACCACAGGTCAATGCACCTTGGCTACCACACAGTTACCTCCCTTACCCTGTTTACACAATAATTGGATCCTACCGGATTGTCAGTGGCTATTGATTGCCTTATAGCACGATAGTCGAAGGGCCCACTTAACAAATGTTGCCAAGACCTCTAGTCCTCTGTATCAAACATACTCATGACTTAAGTTTCTTAATAGCTGCTACAAAAATCTGTAAAAACACACCAAAACAAAATAAAATAAAACACTGAATAATGTTTTGTCACATCAAACAGCAGTACTCTGTACTCAAAAATTAAACCAAACACACAAACAGCTGAGAAAATATATCAGTTTGAAAACATTCACGAAGCCATGACTTAAAGTGTTGAAAGTTTATAGTCCAGATAAATAAATACATACATATAAAATTCTGCTTTTCTCGCTATTTCAGTTGAAAGCAATTAACTTAGCAGTGGAGCTTTACCACCAGCTTCTCCATCAAGTGGCAACATATTGATGTGAATATTGCTCATCAATGCGATAGTTGGATTGATTTCGGTTCTAGATTTTGCCGCAGCAGCATACAGCTGTGAGATATGAGTCATCACCGTGGCAGTTCTGGAAAAACTCACCTACATGAATGAGCAAGCTACAAACACAGGAATTACCTCAACTGTGTTCATATAATCTCCACATTCACATTCACCTAAATGAATTAATTCCTTCACCGATAAGCCATACAGTAAAAGATAGACATATTGTATACATCAATTGGGTTGTTCACCCAAATCAATACAGATAAATTGGCCACACATGTTAGTTTGATTTCATGTGTATTTACATACAGAAGTTGTCAAGGACAACCAACTTCCCCTTTAACAAACAACCCATGTATGATGATGATTATGATGTGAGTAACGAGTGCGTTAACACCCTGTATTAAACTAGCCACTCCCCTTCCACAATGTTACCCACGTAATTCACCACACGCTTTCGTCACGGTTGGACGACTGTCAGCAGTTGTACTATGCGACCCATGGGTCAGTGAACACACCATTCTGCTTCCTTGTAAGTCGACTGACCTACATTCACAGTCATTTCGCTAACGTTCTCATTGAGACGGGAAACTAGGTGTCAATGCAGTTCTATATACAGCATCATACGTGTAGGTATATGACACCACGTGTTGGCTATCCCCAGCAGCAAGCCGTACTTCTGACAAGCACTCTAGATACATGGCACTCAACAACAGCAGAAAGGCACATCAAACGGCATGCTGTGATTCTCAAACACCTAAATGTTTTACAGCAATTTTCTCAATAAAAAATTTATTCCACATCGTTAAAACAGACCATTTGATAGTTCTGTGAATGTGAAATGTGTGCGGGTGTGATGCTGCAGTCTTGATGACACATATCATCACATAATAAATGATACATAACATCGAAAGATATACAACTCAAAAGAAGTTAAGGACACTCAATTCTTTCATAATACTTCAGATAAAGTAAGAGATGAACAAGTCATGTGAAACTAGTGGTGTTCTTCTTGTGAATAATTTGTATATTCCTCTATAACAAGCTGGAAACTCTGTTGGCATCCTCCATTTTTATAGACCATGACTCTCCAATGTATCATAGTTTGATCAATTAAACTGTGAATCTGAATGCTCGAAAATATATTGAAACTGACTATTAACACAAAAACAAAACAAATCTTAATGTACACATACAATTCTTGTTGACAATTTTGATTTTCTTGATTTATTATTTAGATACATCTTAAAGTTATTATGATGATCTTGCTGAGAGTACATCATATACTGAAAGATAAAGGCAATGATATTCATCACCAGAGCTCTCCTTACATCAATTGTCATTCAGGACCTATTTACATAACAGGAGGACAGTAACTGATGTGGCCTCGTTCTCATCTGTAGCATTAGACTAAATGATGAGAACCTACAAAGCTGGTATATGTATAAAACATCAAAGAGACATGTTACATATCTCCACTTTCAAACAGTTCATACAGTCCATGCACACATAGTATCAATGGTGTTCACTGAAATCCCAATATGAAAGGCCAACTGACTGATTATCGATCTCTCACACAAGTACTACCAACAACCGCTGTATAACTCAACTGCATCCTATTATTCAACTCCCACGTATCATGCAACAAGTGTTTGGTGTCAGTACGAACAATATACACAACTGCCCTGCTTCACAAAGCTCTGCTGCAACTAGAACTGTTGCAAGTTCAATTATGGAAGTTCTGCCAGTGAGTGAGTGAGTGAGTGAGTGGGTGAGGTTGTATCTACTTTTAGCATGGCAGAGGCATCACACATTGCAACCAAGTAGGGAACAGAACCAAGGGATTCGTGAGAGCAGGAAACACTTCACCTTCTTGGCTACCCACACTCTATGAGAGCTACAAATAAAGTGCTGAGTGCTTCAAGAATGAGGCAGGCCAGTACTGATTCCCAAGTGCATCTTACTGTCACCCCAAGACAAGGAAAGCAGGATAAATACATATAAGATCAGTCTCTGACTGCTAAACACATTGAACACAACATAGCTGCTCTGACTCCTGTCGTTACTGGTCTAGTTTGTAACTGATGAATGAGTTCTACCTGAACTGTTTCCTGAGAGAGAGCATCTCGCTGTGAGCCCAGGTAGAGGAAGGGCAGGATACGTGTTGGTCCGATGTTGGTTACAGGGAGACAGGGCTGGGACAGCGAGGTGAGGGGGGCACACTTGTAACTGCAGCTGGACTTGCTCTCGCACAGAGAGGGGTGCATAGCGTGGAATGCCAGGAACCCTCCTGCAACACACGAACATCAAACTGTCTGCAATCACCAGGAATAAACAGTTTCTTGTGAGAATATATCATTTGTAATAAGTTGGTGAAAGTACATCAAGATACAGATAACAATCAGTTTGAAAACACCCAATAAAAATGAAACAAGACTTAAACAAAATACATACAAACTGCACCTGAAAATACCTGCCAATGAAAATAGTTTAGTGGACACAACATTGTTCGCCTGATGAAACACTGCATCAGAGTGAGTTTGGTTTTTATTCCACTTTTAGCAATATTCCAGCAATATCACGGCAGGGGGACACAAGAAATGGGCTTGACACATTGTACCCATGTGGGGAATGGAACCCAGGCCTTGGCGTGAAGAGCGAACGCTTTAACCACTAGGCTAACCCACCATCCCTGACAGGCCATAATGTTCAGTTTCCATAACTTTGAAAATATTCAGAAGAAAAAACAAAATGTTCATTTTGAGAAAATCATGTCTGCCTGCTGCAGATCATTCAGAAGGGTACTCCAGCTGCTGATTAAAGTACTTGATTCAACTTTGTAAGATATTCAAATTGTCTTTAAGTGCACTATTCAAGACCCTTAAGTAATCTCACCCAACATTCAGCATCAACAGACATCAAGCATTGAGTCAATGACTAACTGCCCATAGAAGCTAAGTTTGAGCTGTGTACAATCCCCTGATGACGTATCATAAACAGCATGTTAGTAATCAATACCCTGATTTCAGAGTCGGCTGTTTCCACAACACCTAAACATCCAATAGCATGTGTTGATCCCAGAAACTGGAAACATCAGAGTCTTCTAAAACTAGTATATCATGCAAAGAATCCCTCTATAATTGCAGTCAGCAAAATACTGCAACACTTTTAAACAAAATGTTTTGAACCAGGTAGTAGATCAGCTCCTTTAACACAAGTGTAGTAATGAATAAGGTTTGTCATCGACACAACTTTGTCATGAGTTACATATTTAACTTCTAAATATAGCTAAAATATTCTTTGAAATCAAACAGGAAAAATGCCCTTATTCAACTGTATCTTACCAATTACATCATCAAGGTGATATTTTTCTACAGGTTACATAAACAAAGTAATAAACAGGATACTCTATGATAACATCATTTCCCAATATGAGTGTGTTCTTCCTTGCTGTCTCGGAACTGGGAAGGAGGGCTAGCAATGCTAATGAGGTATGACACATTCACTAAGGATGAACCACAGATATCTGTGCTGCGGGAGTGTCCATCTGTGTGGTCAATATGATCCATATCTCCCTACCCTGTTATACGAGAGTTACAACACCCAGTCTATTGTGTTACACTCACATCACTAAGTTCAAGATAACATGCTGGATCCTGTTAGTTATGATGTTTCTGTGTCTGCTATTGGTGGATTTTATTATAAAACAAGTTCATAGGATGATTGTATGTTACAGGAAGTCAACATGAATTGAAACCAATAACCAGTATTACATTAATATCCCAATAAGAATTTATACGCTGTAAGCTATCACATTTTTCTTACCCTCAAGACATAATTTCCTAAAATTCTAAATAACAGTGAATTAAGATTTTACATCACATCAGCATAATTTCAAACATATAGCTATTCAATAACAAGTGACAGAACATGTGTTAGAAAACATAAAACAAAAAGCCTCAAACACTCTTTTTTTTCAAGACTTCTCATGAAATAATACAGATTCAAAATAGGGCTCCTTTCCACAATGCAATCTGACAGCATGATTGTCATGGATTTGTGCTTAAATAGGTAAAATCCTGAGTTGGGCACTTTCTTTTGAAGAACAGACCCTCTAACATGTTTACATCAGGAGATGCAAAGTGAAACACAAACTTCTCAACTTTCATAACTTAATATTCTTTCCAAATTGTTTCTGACATAGTCCTCCAACCTCCGTTACAATTCCCCATCCATGGGGGGCACCTGTCTGCACTGTGCGTCATATGCCTGTCTGTAACTCCCCATCCAATCACCATCCCATCAACCTATGTTAGAATCTCCCCTCTGTAGACATTGGGCTTCTTCCTCTTTCCCCTCACTGGAGGTTGCGAGGCTCCTCACACCTTATCTCCTTACGCTCACGATTTAATCCATTTTTTTTTGGTGTATGAGTTAAGATGCTATTTTGGTTAAGCCGTCTATCTTTGATGCATGGATCTGGGAACACAGCAGACATCAGGAATGAGGCAGACTAGCGGAGAGGCCAAGAAGAAGTCATCATACATTGGTTTACATAACAGTTTCAATGTTAGCTTAATGATTTTCAATAAAATCTTTGAAGACATAGCCTAAATGAAAAAGTGTTTTTTGCTCACTTCAACTAAGGTGACATTCACAAGTTTTGCCAAACCTTTCAAAGTTACCATAAATATAGATTATTTTTATCAGTCTGTCAAACATAAATAGCTTGCATAATCAATCAAACCTCTTCTTGCTGATTAACAAATATGACTATTTTTTTATAAATCTGAAAGTTCCTCATCACTCGTGTGAAGAAACATACAGAAATGAATTCATCTTACCTTTGAGGAAAGTGACAGAGTTGTAGACAAGTGCCAATTTGCGTAACAGGACGTAGACGAAGTTGTCCTCAGTGAAGAGGGAGGGGTCCTCCGTGCACTGATCGTACACGATGACATTCCAACTCTCGTCAATATCCACATGACATGTCTGTGCCAGCAGGTCTCTCACGTGTACCTACAACAAAGTAAGCTCTCTGTACATGCACCTTCAGCCAGGGGCCGACTACACCATCACGGTGGGCCAGTGTGTGTTTGTTTCTGTCTGAATGGACTGAACTTGACATCATTTATATTCCATGTTTCCATCCAGCCTGAACACTCATATTAATGACCAACATGCTGCTATGCACTCTCATGCATCACTTGCTGCAATCATCAAATAACCGCCATGTTTGAAATTGAATGACTATAAACATCGAAAAATAATTTCAGAACTGGATCCAATTTCCCTATCCGTTATTTCAGTGTGTTTAACACTACTGGATATTGGCATCCAATACAGCACTTGTGGACCTGCAAGAGGGGAGCCATCTTTGTTATGACAACTCATTGAAAATCTACATAAGTATGGACATGAAATAGCCATTTGAAAACATTTAATTCTCCCTCAATTCATCTGAAAATGAATCTAACACTTCCATGTGAAGGAAAGAGGTGATAAGTAGGTGTTACTCCGGGCACTCTTGCACATCAAGTGGGTATCAGAATCAGAATAAAAACAGTCGCAGAAAAGGGGAATTTGTTGATGGGATGGAATCCAATATTCCGATGAATCAAGTACATTTCTTTCTAAAATCAGTGTGATTTATGGTCTTCCTCCAGGGAAATCAAATAAGAAAATTCTAACTTTCCTTTCATCACCAAAGCCCTCGGAATCTCATTTGTAATACATACATGCCTTTCAAGTGAGTTACATCTTAGTGGAGTGTTACATCCTGGCTGAGTGTGATTGAACATCACCAAACTCTCGTATACCACAGCATCCGATGTCATTGTGTTCATATCTCACATACCCACAACAGTTAGTATAGACTTGCCACAAGCACTCCTCTTGGACAGCACGTATTCCTTGGTGAGTGTACACTTATCATATCTATGCTAATATCATCAGAATTATATGTTCAGAAAGTATAATCTTCGATGTGATTTCAAACTTGAATTTTTCCAAGGTTTCCTGTTATATATTTCATGGCTTGTAAAAGAACAGTAGAGGATGTTAGACTAAAATGTGTTTTCAAAATAGAACTTGCTTTCAGAAAATATCTGCTTCTTAGAAAGCATGGTCTGGTATGACATTTCAAATTTATTTTCATCTGCATGGGAATCGTGGAAGTGGAGACTGATCCATCTATGTTTGGAATCAATACATGTATGTATCTGTTGGTGGGCCATGAAATATAGATGTTGTGGAGGATCGCTACACACCGCTAGTCAGATGGACACAGTGCTCCTCCTCCATCACAGATGCTCTTTCTCACCTGGCGTACACATACCCAGCAAACCAGAAGTATTCATTATTAATTAATACAGCCAATACCAATAGTTTTCCACTCCCACATGGTGTCTGTGCTGCAAGGTACACAGTGTGATGGATACACTTGGCTGATGGTACTACACTACACATCATCAGGGTAAAGAGTTGTAGGGAGAACATTGGATACTTGTCCCATTTTGTTTCATCTATGTTAAAGTGATATACCACTTGTTTGAGTGGAGCTTTTTGTATTTCTTGACAGTGAGTATGTCTTTGTTATCATGGTTCTAGACAGTTGTCAAGAAGATACAACACTTTCTAAGCTTTAAGTTTACAGGAGATTGTGCCAATCATTACGTTTAAAGATGAAGAAGTTTTGTGAGTAGATTTGTGTGAGTGTGAAGGTGTGGTGAGTATTTATGTGTGGATGAAGGCTGTTTGTGAGTATGTGTGTGAACGAGTCTGTGCATGCAGGTTCATTAGGTAACTGTGTGTGTGTGTGTGTGTGTGTGTGTGTGTGTTTGTGAGAGAGAGAAAGAGAGAAAGAAAGAGAGAGAGAAAGAGAGAGAGAATTTGTTATGTAAATATTTTGTGTGAGCATGAGTGTGCAGTGATGATGTGTGTGAGCTTGTGCATGTAGTGATGCACTGAATATGTGTGTGTGCATGTGTGTAGCGATTTTTTTTAAAGCTTTTTCATCATACAATGAGGATTCAGGATTTCATAAACATAACTAAGATATAAGTGAAAGTGACGCTTGAATATAATTACTGTCAAGACAATATAAACTTTAGACACTTTTGACACAAACTCTACCAACCACAGCAACATATCAGTTTAAACTCGATAAACTTTCTGATTTATATCAGTTACAATGTCTCTCAAACATCATCAACACCAGCGACTTTGATGTGGTTTCTTGCCGAGCTTAATGAGCTTTGTGGTGACTCCACACAGACTATTAGTACACTTGGCTGGGCGTGTGATAGTCATATGGGCAGGGTTGTACACCAACTGTCAAGACTTGTCTGTGAGTCAGGCTCTCACTACGGACAATCAATCATAAGAAGATAACATAGGCATCAATGTCATATCAATATCGTTAGGCTCTTAGGTCCTCAAGGACAAATGCCATGTTGACATATTTCCATAATTAATGAAGAGATATGATAAAGCATGCATCATAAAACAAAAAAAGACATTTTGGAAAGATGTTCCGACTCAAGTTACTGAACAAAATATTTCCACAAGTATTGAAGAAATGTGTCAGGTGACTTGCGGTTTCTTTGAAAAACATGATTATTACATCAACCTCAAAGTAAATCGTTTTTAATTTTCAGTTTAAAAATACATGTTCAAAATCATTCAAACATGGAAGGATCCAACCAAAATACAAAGAGCCAAATTTCATTTTCTTTTGTCTGTTGCATTGTAAAACACAACTTCATGGACAGAAGCAGTCAAAACCTCCAGTAAAAATGACTCAAACTACAACATAATTGACTACTGAATGTGAAAACCACTGACAGCAGTCTATCATTTTTGTTTATCTTTCAGTAAAACTCTTTGTCAACAGGTACTTCCACTGCTGAAACATCGTTTGACTGCCAACAGTAATATCATAGACATAGTTTCCAGGTGAGCACTCAACACCCAAACATCACCTGCCACATCGGTGACTGCAAGGCTATATTCAAAGACTACTATTTCAGTTTTTATGGCTTCTTTATGAATCCAGGACGTTAACTAAGAATGCCAAACAGCACAAAAACCAACATGCACCTATGTATTTTATTGTAAACTAAAAAGAACAAAAGTTGGAACAAAGTCATCCATGTCTCAAAAGACAAAACAGTTTCTTTTCCAAGTCTTTTTTAATCACTCCAATTGGAAAACAACCAATGTTTGTACACTTTTCACATGACTGGTGGCAAGCTACGTTAACCACTAACCTTTCCGTCATATTCTACACTCCAGCTACAGATCTGCATGCATCATGAGCGATGGTGGGGGTGAGTCAGCAAGGGTTAACACTCTGGCATGTGAGACAGAGAATCACTACAATTTGTGATGTCATTTGACAGTAATGTCCTGTCTCTTTAGTCATAACCCCAAACAAACGAAAGGTCTTGTCAACATATGTGTTTGTTGAAGTAATACACTGCACATGGTGAAAACAACAAGGATCACTGAGGCTAGCCTCGGATGGTTTGCCATTCTAGTCATGTTGCTGGGATAGTTTAACAATTAGTCTCTAGAGTGAAACCTGTTTATTTAATCTTATTCCTTTTAATTATTTTAAACCTTTTCTTCTAATCTACATTATAAAACATACATCCTCATTTTCAGAAACTGAGGAAACCTAGACTGGCATAGAAGTGTAAAATATATTTAAAATTTTATGGTTTGCATGGGGACTGCAGTAAGTTTGGCATTGTATTTGCATTAAACAATTCCATATTTCCATGATAAATTTCTCCATATTTTAACAAAGTTACCATGCAAAGTTCATATCTACATGTACTTGCTGGCAGTGGTGTGTACCAAAGGTCATTTACGTTCAGCCTAGTTTGGCATTTTAAGTACAATATTTGTCACCTACAACAGAAAGTAAGTTCATCAGGTTTATTTATTGTTACTAGGTCATGGACAAAAAAGTGCAACAACACAATTTTTATTTTGGGCCTGTTAGTCAACATTCCAAATTAATGTGAAAAGGTAACTAGTCAGATCAGTGATAACATATAAGCACAACCCTCAACAGCCTGAAAGTTTACTAGCCCACATTCCTTTGACATTAGCCAAAGCTGGTCAGAGTCTGTCTCTATCCCAACAGGCAAACTGATGGTGTAAGTACATGCTTCTAACATGAGGCTGTGATTCACCTCATTGGAGGGTAAAAATAAAGCTGACTGGACAATGGTCAATCAACTTCACGTGGCCAGAGTTATAGTAACTGACTAATGTTTTCATGTCTTAGGAATTTTATGTCTCAAGGAAACACTTATCTCATAAAATTGCTTCTTTTGAGAGAAACATACATTTAATATTTGTTTTGCTGTGAAATTATTGTTTTTGAAAAACACTTTAACCTTTCCGCACTATATTGTCCAGACATTAAAACTGCTATTGTTTAACCCTTCTCTTTCAAATATATGTAACCTGTACTTGGTAACTTGATACAATAATGCCTAGCATTTGGTGAAGTACAGTACATTAAGAAGTTCCTGTAGGATTGCAAATATGCCAAATCTGAATAAAACATCTCAAATTTCCAGACTGGTATTGTCATGGTGAGAACCACTTTTTACCCAGCAGCGATACTGTCAAATATGTCAAACATGACGTCAATGGAGCTAACTGAATTAACAAACTTGCTATGTGATGCAATTCCCTGACATCTGGACGCCAAATGCACCTAATTTGCACCACAACAACTGCCTGGTGCATGCTTCATGCACAGGTGAAGGGGAAACAACCTTGACCCTCATAACATTGGGCCCGAACTGTCAATGTTTGACATCCCACAATCCACTGCTTCACTACTCAAGCACTTGAACCAATGTCAACATTCATGGTTTTTCAATTACACACTTTTTTCAAACTCAATACTTTGAGAATGGTTGAAAAGTAGAACCTGTGAATAATCTTCTATACACATTTAGATGACAATGCATTAGTTACCTTTTGCATCACCGTAA